ACTTGGTGGCATGTCCGAGAGAGGGGCACTTGGAGAATGGGGATCCCGGAGGGGCTCCAGGACTGCCTGGGGTGAAGGCCAGGACCAGCCTCCCACAGTGGCCCCCACTGTCCTCTCCATGCAGTGGAGCTAAGACTCTAGAGTCTCCCAAACAACCCTCCCTTTCCTGGGCAGGTTTCAGCAGCAGGACCATCATCATGTGGTTGTGGCCTCCCTGCCATAGATGCATCAGGATGTCAGCCACTCAAAGGGTGGCCACAGCCCAAGGGCGACTAGCTGGGACCTGGTGGACATGGCTATGCGCCACTGCCCTCTGGTGGACAGGTCAGGGCTCACGACATCTGGGTAGGGGCTGACAGTGCCCACACTAGGACCCTGGCCCAGGGAGCACATGCCGGCTCACAGGCCTGGGCCATAGAGCCAGTGTCCACGCACGGCGGGGCCTCCCTGCACTGGCCTTTCAGGGAAGGATCAGTTTGCATTGCTCTTCCTACTTTATACAGAACCACTCTGGCTGGTGGGGACGGGGCACAGATGGGGCCTGAACCCAGGCCGAGAGCCCAGAGTGTGCAGCCCCAGCCATGGCCAGGTGCATCACCCAGCTGCTCATGCAGAGCATCTCACCCAATGTGAAGTGACTTACTTCCCTCTAATCTATCCTCAAAGAATCCTCTCAACCCCGGGGCCAAGGAGGTTTCCACCCCGAGTGGATCCCATTTCATTCCAGTGTTGTAAGAGCAGATGTAACACAAGCTGTGAACACGTCACTGCTGTTCATGAAAGATCCATCCTCTGGAGTCTTCCGGGTTCTCCGCATCCTCGGCAGAAACCACCGAACCACAAATGGTTTCCACATTTATTAAGTTATTACAATGAAGTCAGAATGCTTCCAGTGTTACAGGCTCTCGGGGGATAAAAGGCCAGAGAGGCCAGAGGTCAGCATAACACGGATCCAAGTAAAAGTCTGAAATTAAAGAGTCTCTCCATCTACAAAGTCCAAAAAAATGTAGTTGTTTTTTTCTGGCCTGCCTCACTTCTGGGCCATAAAATGAGAGGACATGAAGAAGCAGGGACTCCAGGGGTGACAGGAGGCGGGAAGGTGGGGCCAGGCAGGGTGAGAACCAAGCCCAGCTTCTGTGTCCTCACTGGCATGCCCCTCCAGGGTTGGCCAGCGTGGGGAATCCCAAGATCCAGCTCTCCCAGTTCTCACCCCTTGGTGACCACCCACCTCCCTGACATCAAAGATGTCTCCTCCAAGGAGCCTTCCCTCCTCCGCTCCAAGACCTTTCCCACTTGGGGCCCTTCCCCTCTATCTGTCCCTAAAACAACTTTGATGGACTTGGTCCCTCTCTCCTGGACTGGGGGGAGGCTCCAGTGCAGACACCCCTTGCACCCCACCAGATTCAGGGGTCCCAGTGGGCATGGTGTGACCTCACAGGCCGGCTTTCCCCCTGCACACCCAGCTCTCTCCTGTCCACTCTCATACCTCATAGGGGCACCTCGTCCATTTGTGGGCCTTAGCAATGTCTGCACTCAATGCCCTAAGGAGCAATGAGACGCAGTGAGACCCCAAAGACAGCCTCACAGACCGATGGCTGTCCCAGCACCGAGGTCTGGTGCAGACTCCAAGGGGATGGCTGGCGCCAGACACCCTAGAGATCTGGCGCCCGAGGAGCCAGGCTTTGAGGTGTGCAGGGTCCCCCGAGGGCTCCGCCTTGCTTCTCACAAGCAAGACCAGAGACATGTGTGCCTGGGGCCAGCTGCCCTGACAAGAACCTTCATTCTGAATGTGACTGCTGTGGGGCAATGGCAAGCGCTTGCTCCCGTCTCTGATGACAGCCTCCCCCTTCAGGAATACGCGGCCACGGGCACACTGCCCCTCCCTACAACGGCCCCTGACGTCCAGAAGTCTATGAACCAAGAGCACGTGCGTCCGGACATCCATGGAGCATGGTGAGCTGCTGGCTTCTTGGTTCATTCCGGAATGGCGTCACTTCCTCCACTCTCCTCAGTGTGAATCCTTCATTTCCTGGAGAAAATTAACATTAGGTGGGGTAAAGATTCACTTTGCTGAAAGAACTTGCTGCACAAGTGATCCTTCTGCAGGACCCACTGGGTTAACATTGTCAGGCACTCTGCGAGTGCTTTGCTAATGCACAGCTGTCCCTGGACACCTGCGGAGACATGCAGCGCCCTGAGCACCGCCGCTTCCTCTGGAAAACTCAGTGATGGGGCTGTGCCCACAAACTTCAGCTGGTCCTTCCAGCAGTCACCCTTTTCATCTCAAGTGTCACTTGACTTTTGTAGAGACATTTGTGATTGGGGAACAGGCCTCTGACTCAGGGCCACACCTCTGTAAGATTCACTGGGACCTGTGCTGGAATTCACAGCCAGCCACGCCTCCTTCTCCAGGAGGGACTGCGGGCACAGGCGCCCGGCGCGGGGAACAGAGGTGAGGAGGGTGCCCGGCCTCCACAGGGGAGTCCACTGATAATGCCACTTCTGACTGCAGACAGGCTTCCTGGTGTGACCTCACAGCTGGGACATCTGTTAGCAGAACACACAACGTGCATGTGCAAAGCTGGTCAATTTAATACAAGCAATCCATTTCCTCTTCATAAGTCAAGTGGCTATACTTTTCACCTTTGTTTTCAGTGAACCCAAAAAAGAAGTGAGTCCATGTGGTGGGTGGGTGGGACAGTTTTGTGCTGAGACCAATCCTGCTGGTCTCAGAGGGGCCAGGACAAGGTTGTGCCTTAACAGAGGCCCAGAGCTGCGCCGGGCCAGCCCTCCTCAGTCTGCTCCCCCGTAAACCGGGAAATAACATGACCTGGCAGGCTCGGGGGGAGACACAAGGGGATGGACACTGCTGTGAAGTCAGAGGTCGGGGCCCTTCGCTGGACTGACGCTGACCGTCCCTGTTGCTGCGTGATTACACGAGCGTACCCCTTGGAGTGGTTCTCAGGATGGGGAGAGGGACCGCCTCTGCGCGCAGAGCCAGGCCTGCGCTGTGGGCCCGCCACCCCGCCTCTGGGCGTCTGGTCCAGTGATGAAATGCTGCACTGGAATGCTCCTGTTCTAATAGGTTTCCATTTGCTTCTATTTGGCTTCAGAAAGTTACTTCCATTGTTAAGTCTCAGAATTAACTGGTAGGTGTAACTTTCCTTTCTTGTACAATTACTCGAGTTTTTATGTTTATTCAGATTTTTTTCATCGAGGAGGGGTCCCCAATTATCTTCCCTCACTGAGGGAAGCTGTCCCACTGTGCACATTCTGCTGAGCCCTAGCAGAGGTGTGGGCAGTGACACCACCCTACTGTCAGATCCAGCCAAGTCACCTATCTGAAGAGGTTGGCCAGGCCCAAGTCCTCAGGGCCCAGTTGGCTGAACACCTGATGGGGGCCCTCTCAAACAGGCCTCCCCCGACCCTTCTGGGCAGTAGCTATTCAATCCAGGCCTCTGTTCCACCTGCTTTTGGAATGTGAAGGGAGTAGTGACAGCATGAATGAGTCAAAAGTGAGTGTACCCTATCCCCGTCCTAGGGGTGAGTGTCCCCCAGACTCATGTCCATCCAGAACCACAGAACGGGATTTATTTGAAAGTCAGATTTTTGCAGGTGTAATAAGGTAAGGTCATACTGGATTAGAGTGGGCTCCAAATCCAGACTAGTGTCCTTACAAGAAGGCCAAGAGAAGGAGGCAGAGACTGGAGTGATGGGTCTACATGGGGAGTCAGCAGCCACCAGGAGCTAGAGAGGGCTAGAAGATCCTTCCTTAGTGTCTTCAGAGGGAGTGAGCCCCATGGGGCCCCAGGGACACCTTAATTTCTGACTTCCGCCCTCTATGAGAGTAATTTCTACGTATAAAGCACCCAGTGTGTGGCAGTTCATTAGGGCAGTCCCCGGAAACAGCCCATTTCTTCCTGGACTACCAGGTGTCTGCAGTATCCAGTAAACAGCTGCTGTAAATCACCAACCTCTATGGAATAGAAAAATGCATGCAATGCCTTCTGCCATCAAACCAGGTAACTGTGTGCACTGCACATGTAGAGTCACAACTCAAAGCCCCTTTTCCATGTGTCTGGCCTAGTGAGACCTCTGGCATGGCCAGGCAGAGAAGAGGGGCTCAGGGCATACCACCTGGGCACTGGGGTGCAAACATGGGCCCTGTCACACATCAGTGACATCAGCACCCTAAATAAGGCCTAGCCCTCATCCCCTGGGCTCATGTCGTGACATCTGGGACTCTCACGACTGTCTGTCTACACACCCACAGGGTGGAGGGCTGGCAGCTGCAAGACTGTGATCTGGGGGTGCTGCTTCTTGATGTGGGGGGTGGATCCACGACGGAAGTCAGGCAGGGTGGCTGATAACATCGTGTGGGCGGCTCCCTGATCTCAGAAGGCCCCAGAGCCCTGCTCTAGCCCCCAGGGCCCCTACTGTCCAAATACAAAGTAGGAAGGGAAGGAGTGGTGTTAAGAGATGAAGCCCTGTTTCTGTGGGAAAGGACATTTGATTTCCTAACCACCTCGGGACCGGGGAAGCTCAGCGCAGGAAAGCCCGGGCTCATCCCACCTGGACGGTACCTTTGAGGACACTGCGTCCTGTGCGCAGAGATGCTCAGATGCACTGTGGAAACCCAACCACGGTCACTGGCTCTGAGAACAGCTACTGCCTGGTCACTTATCTTAGACAGTGGACATACTGTTTCTACAAAGACATCTAAAGCTGGAGGTTAGAATGAGGGACTGGGAACACTGTGATCACAGCAGCTCCAATTCGTGTAAATGACTGGAAGCTGGGACTATAGTTGAAGGGGTGACAGTCAAATTTCCTCCCATTTCTCTCAGCTGCCCGGTGTGGCCACACAGTTTAAAGGCCATGCTTCAGAAGCACCTGGCAGGAGCCCCTGGAGGGGACCCCTCTCCAATCCCCACTTCTAAGGGACATTCATTTTCAAAAGTCCCTTCTGTGAAAGAAACACACTTGGGAACGGCTGTCCTTGACCACAACGCCCTTTATTCACAGTCAGAACGCCCGCGTGCAGCACGAGGACCTCCCCTATGTTATGCTAACGCAGAAATGCTCACGTGGATAGCCTCCCAAGACACAGGTGCACGGTCTGCTCTAATGGTGATGCTGTTTGAACTGGAGGCCACAGTAACCGCACGTCCCAGTTTTTGTTTCTTTGTCCTGAAAAAATTCAAAATAGAAGATCTCATATTTCCATATTCTACTTCAAATCTAATAGTTAGAGATTAGATATTCAACTAACACACAAAACTTAAATGCACTGTCAGCTTGAAACACCTGTAAAACCCAAATCACCATTGAGCTAGGAACTGTGACAGTGCCCAGGGCCCTGGGTCCAGCTCTGCCTTCTCCTCCAGCCTCAGGTCCTGCCCTGGAAAGCGGGGCCATCTCAAAGAACCACTGCAAGGACAGAGTGTCAGCACAGCGGCACTTCTTGCCCTCAGCTCGATCACTCCAGGAGAGACAGGGTCTCATCCTGAACACAGACCTCAACTGACTGGAGCGGGTGGGGTCCCCACAGGGCTGGGGTCTAAGCTCACTCATGCCACCAGCAGAAGGGGCGGCAGTGGGTCCTGCAGGCTCCCTTCCCCTTCCTACATACCATCGGTATATCTGGGCTTAGCTTGTGGCTTCCTTCTCGGCTCTAATGTCCCACGTACTCCTCTTCCCTAGGCTCCGGGTGTGTATTTATCAACAATCATGGGCTCCAGAATGATGGTGCAGGGAGAAAGACAGATGCCTACAGGTCTGAGAGGACGCTGGAGAGTCAGTGCTGGCGACACTAAGTACACTGCACAGCACATCACAGCTGAAAAGATGCCACTTGATTCAGCCCCTGCCGTTTGGTTTTGTAGAAAAGCTCAAGTGGGAGAGTGTGTAGCCTAAGAAACACTGCAAGGGCCACCTTGAGAACAGGGACAGGACAGAACAGAGATGGGTGAGCACTAGGGACCAATGGGCCACGTTACCAGGTTTATGTAGACTTTCGGGTGGCCTAGAGCCCCACCACCACCGTCACACGATACTATGCGATTCTCCACTTCACTCACAGGCTGCTCGGCTATCAAATCAATGGCAAAGTTCTCATTCACCTGGAACAAGAGAAAACTGTGTGCAGACATGTACAAAAACTTGATGATTTCATGAAATTTAAATTTATGTATTTGCCCTGGCCTGTTTGGCTCAGCGGTTAGAGCGTCGGGTGGGTCCTGGGTTCGGTTCCTGCTAAGGGCACGTACCTCAGTTGCAGTTTGTCCCTGGCCCCAGTTGGGTTGTGTGGGTAGCAACCACTTGATGTGTCTCTCTCACATCGATGTTTCTCTCTCTTCCTTCCTCTCTCCCTCCCGCTCTATCTGAAGATAAATGCAAAAAAAAAAAAAGTCCTCGGGTGAGGATAAAATAAATAAGTAAATTTATGTAATTTATGTAGACAACCCACCCACAAACACATTCATATGTTGCCGGCACAGGCAGAACTATATTCTGCACATTTTCATTTAAATATTATTTAGATCTTCAAAACACACAAATAATTTAGTTAATACATACATACATACACACACACATACATTTAGTTTTTTATTGGATACAATTTCAAATTTACTGAAATGTTGCAAGAATTCTCATTTTGTCTTTACCTGGACTCAGACTGTTAACATTCTGCTCCATTTATCTCTTGCTCTCTCCTACCCCTCTTTCTATACACACACACTGAGTTTCACTGACCACTAAGAAAGATCAGGAACAGTGACGACCCAGTGGCGATGAGTCCACACTGTCTCTGCCACCGTTTCATACTATAGGAACCAGGGCTCTGAAAAGAGCTGGTTCCGGGTCCAGAGAGGATGTTACAGATGAATCAGAGACGTGTTGGTGACAGGGAGAATGGAAGCCAGCAAAGACAACTACAGCTATGTCAAAAGGGTAGCCAACTTGGGAACACTGCCTATCTGGAATAAAATGGATATGGGAATCTGAGGGACCATGGGATTGTAACTACAAAGGACTGAAATACAACGAATACACTAAAATCCATGATTCCATAACGATACTTTAAAACTTCTTTAATTTCCTTACTACAGGGAATCAACTCATTATTTTAAAAACTGGTAAATAAAGGGAGTGAATCTAGCATGTCTTCTTCTTTCCACAGCATAACCAAACTTGTTTTGTTTTTTGTTTGCTTAATGCAAATCCTCAAGCTACTGAGAAGAGAACACCATGCCTCAAAGTCTATGTGAGTTCATGACTGGAGCCGCTCGTCCACTCTACAACCAGACGGCCACGTCACCTGCCCAGTAGGGTTACCAAACACAAAGAACCGAGTCTGATCTGACAAGCTGCTGGGTCCAACCACAGTGTGCACACTCGGAGGACTGGAGGTGCCAAACAGCACAAAAGTAGTGCAGTCCGTCAGAGCCGGCTGTGGGCGACCTTACAGAAGAAACGCCCAGGTCTTATGACAGGTGAGTCCAAGAAAGAAAAGGGGTCGTGTGTGTGTGTGTGTGTGTGTGAGAGAGAGAGAGAGAGAGAGAGAGAGAGAGAGAGAGAGAGAGAGGAACCTAATGATTAGAGACACTTGGATGCATCACAACTGCAAAAAGGGACTGAGCATGTGTGGGGGTAATAGGAACTTAAAAGATAAGAGAAACTTGGATTTGTCACAACCACAGTGCATGGGACCTATTTGGCTTCTGAGTCAAATACGCTGTAAAATTTTAAAAAATAGGACACAGCCAACAATATTTAGGCCACATAAATACTGAATTGAACGGAACCTCTATAGTTTCAGATGAGGTGATTCTGTCAATGTCAACACCTTCTGGAGGTGTGCATGGTCAATTTCAGATCTGATGACACAAAAGAAACAGTCCAGGCCATCTTGATATGTATCCTGTGGTAACTGTTGAAACTGAGTAACCAGGCACATGGGAAGAGGGGATCACTGAACTAGTCTCTCCACTGCATAGTTAAAACAGCAATTCAAACATCCTGGCTGGCAAATAATTTCCCTGACAATGCCCTCCTGTGGCAAATGTGGGACACTGGGCAGGAGACATGTCTTGGTCATGTCTGCCTCCACTAGAGCTATCCTTAGTGACCACAGGAGACAAAGAACATGGTGCTGGGGACAGAAGTGAAGCGTCAGTGTCTGTGTGTAAAGGCAAAGAACTGAACCTGGACCCTCACAGTCCCCAGTGGGCCTCAGAGCCCCACTGCTCATGTCCTGTGGTCACCAGTCCCATGCCCCCGGGCTGTGGCTCTCGTACTTCAAGAGCTGCACATCCTGCGAAAGAAACCAGCAGTGCCTTCTCCAAGCTTCCTCCTTTCTGGAGCCATCTATAGCGATCACAGTCACCAGCTCCCAAGGGTTAGCCTGACTGATGGTGCCTCTTAAGCCCAGCATCTCTCCCACATCTTTAGCCAACCCAGGGTAGATGACAACAGCAAGGCTACATCTTAAAAGTCAACCTCTTCTGGAGGCCAGAGGATCACTCAACTGGAACACACAACATACAACAGAGGGCAAACAGTCACAGGGGCAACACCATTCTTCACCTTTCAGGTCTCCAAAAAGCCATCACAAGTTTACAGGCAGATATGACTTAATGGAGACAAGATGGGACAGTGCCAGGCTAAGACTCAGATTAATAAGCACTGGCCAAGGTTATCCTGCAACAGGGCTTGGGAGTAATCTTGGTACTTGTTTACCATGATGGGTGAGGAGTGCTGCGCCAGGTCAGTCCTGGCCAACCAGGGCCACGTGGCTTCCAGACCCCCACCTACACTAGAGGCCTACTGCTCTAGGGAAGACAAGAAAACAAAAACTAGGCATAGATAAATACTTACAAATAAGGAGGGCTGCTGGGGGACATGTAAGTCTAATAAAATTTGAAAATAAGAACACAGTCAAGCTCACTTAACTTTTCCAAAGCCAGCTGACGGCCCAGAGGACACACAATCCAGTGGCAGAGAACCCTGGCACCACTCACACACAGAGAAGTCCCCGTCTGCATCAACACAGATGACACTAAACCCCTCACTAGAACGCTGATGCCCTGAACCCAAACAATGTGGACGACATTTTGGAAAGGTTTAATTATTTTTCAAAAGCTTTGTCAGTGACAGATTATGATTTTATCAAGCTTTTCCCTAAAGTTCTATTTCCAGAAACCCAGCAGGAAGTTACCAGGAAACTGGATGACGTTAAAACAAACACCACGAGCCTGCAGTGCTGCCTTCGTGTTGTTTTACAAGCTCCTTTAAGCACAGTGCCTCCGCCAAGGTCTCCTGCTCCCCTTACACCATATCTTACAGCAGTCTATGCGGTGAGTGATGGCCCGCTCACCTCCTCTGCAGACAAAGCCACGCACCATACAAATGAAGCCTCAGGGTGTAAATAATACGGTGTCTACCTCAGTGACAAATGTGTCACAAAGGCCACACTAACAAACTCCATCACGCAGTCCAAGAGACCAGCTGTCTCCTGTGGGAAGGGCGGCTGATGCCTGACGCCTGAGACTGACATGGGACTGCCCCTGTCATTCAGGACTGCAGCTCCAGGACGACCCCGACCTCCCATCATTAACATCCTGGGACTCAGCTCAACCGCAGGAAAACAAAGAGCCCAGGAGTCACGGCCCAGTCACAGCAGCCAACCACAGCCCAGCTTCTGATTCTGTTAAAATTCAGGGCTGCAGCATGCTGAAGGGGAAGGAATAAAGCATTACTGGTCCTTATGAGGAGATCAGTACAGAATACATGTCATAGCATCCCGAATACTTTGCATTAGCTGTAAATGTAGTGTTCTCATAAGTATACAGTGTGTCACTGACCCAAAATTGCCCAACCACTGTAAAATTAGTCCTCCAGGTCACTAAAAAAAAAAAAATACACACCTCCCGTTATATTTACCTCTTGATCAAGTCATCTGGGCCTACAAATGTTTAGGTTTAAATTATTCATTTGTCAGTAAGCTGTTTTATTTTTTATTTTATTTAACTCATGTTTTTGGGAGTGACAGTTCCTAAGGAAAGTTTACTCCTTTATGTCAAACTGAGATTAAATCCATTAGAAATAAAATATAATTCTACAAAATAATATTAAAACTAATACAAAAAGGATATAATAACCCAGTTGAAAAATCAATGTTTTGTAAAATTTTGATCTAATTAATGAAAATTTATAAGTTTAAAATAAACTAAAAGCCCTTCAATTATTTAAAATATCAGATAATTATATTTAGCTAAATATACATGTATACACACACACATATATAGTTTTTATATCACTGTAAAAACTGAAGTTTTCATCCAAATTAATTTTTTAAACTACACAAGTTTGGAGAAAATGCTCAAAAGCAGGAATGAGTAGGTGGAACACAAAGGACTTTCAATAAAACTACTCTGTATGACATTGTAATGGTGGATACAAGACATTACACATTTGTCAAGACCCACAGAGGTGCAGCAAAGAGTAAACCCTAATGTAAACTATGGGGTTAAGTTGATACTAATGCATCAATACTCATCCAGTGTTTAAATCAATCACTGGTTAAAAATGTAGCACACTAACACCAGATATTGATAGGGGAACTGTGTGAGGGGAAGAAGGGGCATCTGTACTTTCTGTGCAATTTTCCAGTATACGTAAAGTCTTCTAAAACTGTAATGTCTCTTGAAAAACAAAATAATTTTAAAATACCACTAAACACCAAATTTTTTTTATAACAGCCAAAGCCAGAGCAGAATGCCAAATCATCATTTACAGACATGCTGTTCACCTTCACAACTTGAGGACATCTGCCTAGACACTCATGATCCCAAACAGGAAAAGGCCCCAGAAACCCCAAGCTGGGACGGGGCTTAAGAATCAGCCAGTTCAAGACAGCTAAGGAAGAGAGAGTCTGATGATGCCCTGGCCAGTCTTGCTCAGTAGTTAGAGCCTCAGCCCACAGACAGTAGGGTCACAGATTCAATTCCTGGTCAAGGGCAAGTACCTGGGTTGCAGTTTAAATCCCAGACCCTGGTCAGGGTGAGTGCAGGAGGCAACCAATAGTTGTGTCTCTCTCACATCAATGTTTCTCTCTCTCACTTTCCTCCCCCTTTCTCCCATTCTCTCTCAAAAAAACAAAAATATCCCCAGGTGAGAGAGAGAGAGGCAACACTGGAAGGCCTTTACTGCCTTCAATAACTCTGATTTTGTTTGTTTAGTTTTGTTTTTAAGTTGGTCCCTGTTGCCCTCTGTTATGATAATCAGAAACCAGAGCCACAGAAGAATTTCCAGCAGAGGGGAGTCTGTGACAGGCCCAAGTACTTGCTAAAGCCTAAGAAGAGCTGAAATAGGAAGCTGGGGGCCACAATGCAGGGTCGACTCCAGAACTGATTTGCTCTGAATTGCCCTGTCCAGCCCTCTGAACTCCATCTCCATTACACTGCCCTCCGCCCTCCTGAAGCCCACAGAGCAGGAATGGAAGTAGAAAACCATACTGTAGGAATGGACAATGTAACCAAGATCAAAGGGGAGGAGAAACACAATTCAGGGAAAGCTGAAGCTTAACAAGAAGAATCAACAGGCTGACTCAGAGGAAGGGCTAACTCAAAATGACTATGGGGGACAAAACTTACTTTATTTCTGTGTTTGATAATCAGGAGTATAAAACACAGAAATAAAGAAAAAGACCACTCCCATTTATAAACCAGAGCTACACTTACAAGATGTGGTTATATATTGCAGGAGGGGAAAGAGGACCCAAAATAGAAACAGACACATTTAACATTTAGAAAAAGGTTGAAATCTAGAGCTTCTAGGATGCTCACAAATTGGGGGAAATTGTTTAAATCTTACATATTAATTTTTATTTCTTTTTGGTTATATAAAGGCTTTATGACAGCTTCTCTAGATGTTTTTACTTACCTCTTTCTGACGACCTACAAATCGAATTTTCCTGTAGTCTTTATCATCATAAACCTGAAAAGAAAAAGACCATATGTGAATTTTACGGCCTAATTCTGAACGAAGTCACTTAATATCAATTGTAAACATTACAGAAGTGTTTTCCTTAACATTCACACCATTCACGATCAAACACATGAGGGGCAAAGAATGGCTATGCAACCAGGGGGCATTTTTCAGCAAGGCCCCTAAAATGACAAGGGGCAATAACCTGAACTGGAAGGCAGCAGGGTGCAGTGGAAGAAGAGAGGAGGCAAATTCCAGCAGAGGAGGTGCACCCTCTCTTCTTCACATATGGCCCATGGCTCATGTCCCCTCTAAATCTACTGGGTGACACTTTATTACTATGGGTACTTTCTCCTCTTTTGGCTTATGATTATAGTCTAACACTGTCTTTGTGTTTTGGACTACAGCAGACTCTCAAGTTATTTAAATATACTATTTAATATCACACAAACATTACAAGATTCGAGCCACGGGATCGGTCGTTTTTAGCCAATGGGAAGCCTCCCCATAGTGATCAACAGCTACACTCTGGGTAGCAGCCTCATTTTAGAGTTCGCGGACACTGGAGAATCTGCAAACGCTCCGCTAACACCAGCATCGCGGTACCGGTTTTATCTACACCGGTCAGTGCGTGCGATAGAAGCACAGTTCGACCGCGCTGTCGCCCGGGGGACCCGCACAGTACTCAGCTGCCCTGCTCACGGACCAGGAACCGGGATACAGCGGGAGAAGCTGGGGCACTGGGGACAGCGGAAAGACCGGGGTCCGGGCTGGGGCTCCGCCCACTCGGGCGCCCTCCACGCCGCACCGATTACCTGGCCGGTGTGCGTGACCTTCTCCCCGGTCGGCGAGATATGAACCCCGAAACACCTGGTGCCCCGGGGCAGGATAAGTGCCGCTGCGCCGCTCCGGCCCAGCTGCCGGCAGAAGGTCATTGCCGCCGCCATCTTTCAGGTTGACCCTTGACCCAGCGCGTCGACACATCAGCGCCGACGCATGCGTACAGGGCCTGCGCTGCCGGACTCAAGGCTTGGGGAGACGCGCATGCGCGCTGTGGTCCCGCACCATCCTAGCAGGTGCTGCTGTGGTCCAGACCTCAGCCCGTATAAGGCAGGAAATTTTGCGCACAACCTTAGCACTTAGCGGTTACTCGATGATTCTTACTAGGGAAAGGGCAGGGGAGGATAGAAAGTAAAGTTGCATTGTTTACATTAGACGGTAACCGAGAATCTTAGGGGATACACATCATATGTTTTTGTTGGTGAAGATCCCTGCCTAGAGAGAAGACTGGACGTGCATTCCCTAGCCCAGTTCGTATATCTTTGTGGCCTGGAACACAGCCTGTTTGGGGATTTCTGCAGCATAGCCCCAGTGAAGCTACTACTAGTAAAGCACAACCCATGTCACCCCACCCACCGACCTCAATGTGATCAACCCCGGACAGACCCACTACTCCAGAGCGCACCTGAGCTGGACCCTGGCTGGCGTCCTGGCACTTTCCTGTCCTCCTCCTATCTCCTCCACACTGCCTGGCATAGACCCAGCGAGATGGGCGAAAATGGAAGTGGGGGAGGCAGACTCAGAGCTGAGTCGCGCACCCTCCTCAGTCTCCAGGAGCTGAGGAAATCCACAGCCTATACTCCACTCCAGGGAGGTGGAGAGGATCTGGCAAGGTGATGAGAGGCGTGATGCCCTGAAAGCCTCTCGGAAAGGAAGGGTACCTACAGACAAGTGCTGAGAGGCAGGCCCGAAGCTCACCTGAGCAGGTGCACCGCGTCTGCAGGTCACCTTTGTGTACACAGAAAGTAGGTGGGTGGGTTCGCGGACACGACCCCTAAAAAAGCAGGTGTAGCGAGTTCATCAAGGAACTTGGGTGGTGGGTATGTGGATGTTCGCCATAAAAGTCTTTAAACTTTTCTCTGTTTGAAATGTTTCATAATAAAATGTTGGAGGGGAAAAAAGATGTTTAACTGCAACCAGTTAGGACCATTGTCTGTTTCCACTAGTTTCCCTGAGACCAGTTTTCTTAGGATGTTCTTGTAATACAAACATGTGTTTTGGAGTTTGTTTGTTTGTTTATATTTGTTTTGACGTTAGTATTGTCAGTTTTTAAGGGTCTACTTGGTTGTGACTTTTTCATTCCAGATATATGTGTGTGTGTGTGTGTGTGTGTGTGTGTGTGTGTATGTGTACATATATATATATATATTTGTTCCCATATTTGTATACTCCTACACCCCCATCGTAGACTGCAGGTTGCGGGGGCGCCCTGCTGGGGGCTTTGGGGCCCGGGACTTGAAGGCCAGCAGAGATGGAACTTGGCTCCCTCCAACCGCGCGCGCAGGAGCTCGGTCTCTGCACCCAGCGACGCGGGAGCCGCCACTTGACCCGCAGCTGTATTTCTTTGTGGAGGAGACTCCCGGCAGTCCCCTCCCCATTGCGCAGGCGCAGGCGCAGGCGCAGGCGGGGACGCAGGCGCAGTACGAGAAACGCTACTGGCTGGGTGTGGGCCTCTTTGCCAGGTCAGGGGTTCTCCGGGGTTCAGAGAGGCTAGGGGCGAGGGCGGCGACGAGACTCCGGAGTTCGGGTCTTACACGGAGCCAGCGGCCGGCCGGGGCTGCGGAAAGACTCGGCCTCAGTTTACCCCTGTGGGCCGCGGTGAGAGAGCGCGGGGACGGCGTGGGGCCAGATCTGTCCCTTGGACGTCCGAGCCTCGGGGGCGGTGGGCGGGCCCCGAGCGACACCCGAGGGTGTTGGGGCCCGTGGGCGCCCGCTAATGCGCCTCGTCCGGAAAGCCCCGCGCGATGCGCGCCTGGAAAGCAGCCCCGCCGGGGTTCCATGCGGTCCGCCGATCGGGCTCAGGCCTGAGTGCCGGGTGTTTCTTGCCCCGGAAATAGGGCCAGCCCTGCCCCATCCTGCCCACCACTAAGCCTGAACGGGGTCGGAGGCTTAGGATGCCCGCAGCCACGGCTGGGCTCCCACAAAGGGTGGTATCTTGCCCCTATCTCCAGGCAGAGCTGTCGGGGTTTGCGCTGCAGCTGGGAATGGTAGCGCTCTGAGCCCTCCACTCCAATGTCTACACCACAGTGAAGTAGAGAAAACAAAGTTGTAATAGGAAGTGCGGAAGACGCTGTAACACCTTTTTATTCTTTCTCACATAGATTCAGCCACAACATGACAGCTTCCTCGATAAGGAAAATAATGGTTTTTGCTGTGAAGCCTCTCCTACATCTGATTCCGACACCCCGAGCGCTCTCCACGATCCTGCAGGATTCCTTGCGAGTTCCAATCGCAGCAGGTTTGAGGCCCAGCACACCGATGGCCTCACCTCTCCCCTGCCCGCCCCTGCCCTACCTGCAGCCTAGTCTGGGGTTCAAGACCAAGGGCGTCATCAAGAAGCGTTGCAAGGACTGTTACAAGGTGAAGAGGCGTGGGCGGTGGTTCATCTACTGCAAAACGAACCCAAGGCACAAGCAGCGACAGATGTAGTTCCTTTGGCTGTGTAAATAACATGCAAGATTGTACCATTTCCTTGAGTTACCTTATGGAAGAAAAATAAAATGTAAATGTTCCGTTTTCTAATATTGTGGACCTTCTGGTTTTGTTGACTCTACTTTTCAGACATCTGACTCTTTGTCCACATCTAGTCCAACCAGAGCCCCAACTGGGAAGCTAGTCGTTTTATCTTCCTTGGAAGCTGGCAAGAGGACAGAAGACAGAGCAAAGGAGATGCCAGTTTATTCCCCAACATCAGAATGCAAATTCTTTAGAAAAAACTAGATTTGGTCTCAGACTGGCCCTGTGTCTGCATTTAGCCATATTGCTGCTATGCCAGGGTTCAAACTCCATTCAGCATTCCTGTTTTCAGGATGAGGATGAAAGGCCTTGATAGCAGTCTTTAAGTCAAGAGTAATTTAATTGTTTCTATATGAAGGTATTTGGATATCAAATATGTTTGTCACCCTTGTCTGAGGCTTATATGCACATGTACATGTGTGTAATGTGTGCATGTATGTGTGCATTACATACCCACTGTGAGACAGGAGAGCTCAGAGGTGGTAACAGCATCATGGCAGGCAGCTGCTAACTGATCCAAGAGCAACGGAGGAGAAGCAGGGGGCCATACACCCTGGTCGGAGCCTTGGCTCTGCTCATTGTTTGGTGCTGGGCCTTGGATGAGAAGCTTCTGTTGAAGACTCAAGTTTTAAAAAGGGTCTGATACTGCCCAGCCAGTGTGACTCAGTAGTTGAGCGTCTACCCATGCACCAAGAGGTCACTGGTTCAATTCCCGGTCATGTTCTCTCTCACCGATGTTTCCATGTCTCTCTCTCTTCTCCCTTCCTCTTTCTCTAAACAATAAAATTTTTTTAAATAAAAAGATTCTAATACTACTCATCCCTCCCTGCAGGGTTCTAAGGAACTAATTCTCAATCACTCTTTTGCCCTTAGATTCTGCCACAGGGTTTAGAATATAATAGACATTTAGCAAGTGAATGTGGACTCGAATGATCATGTCACTTTTTAAGTAGGTAGCCCCTTTTCCTCTCTTCCTATTCAGAACTCGCTCATCCTACAAGGCCAAGTCCAAGATTGTTCTGAAAAGTTGGCTGACATCCCACCCAATAGACCCAAACGCCTCCAGCTCTAGAATGTGGATCATGAAGTGGGATGCTGGATTTGTCTAAGTCTCTAGCTGTTTCATATATGTATTCACATGCACACACATGTATGCATATGTACACCACCTTTTCGATTATTTTCTCCTTGACAGGTGAGTGTGAGGTTTACTTGCCTTGTGAGCATCTGGCTCTGCAGGGCACACAGTGCCGGTGATATATGTCTCTTGAGATACTGAGGGACAGGCAGTCGTAGGTGGGAAGCGATAAGGCCTGCATCCATATGAATCCGATTACTGGTAGCAACCTGAAATTCTAACAGGGTATTTATGAGTTTCTAAATTGTTGCTCTCTATTGAGATTACTAATCTCTGTTTAATCTAAGGTGGTAGTATGTGTGCTGACTAAACCCTCTTACAGCTCATCTACTTCCTAATACCCAATGGGCCAGCATTTATATGTTAGCAGCAAGAAGATGAGACCTCAGTTCTTATCTTCTTGAAGGCAAGATATGAATCGAGACAAAGTGTAGCAAAGTAAGAAAGAATTTATTGGCCATAGCAAAAACACACTTAGGACAGTGAAACAAGGAAGGGCATAGACGAAGCAACAGGAGAGCCTAGTCTGCGCTGCTCCGGCTCACTGGGAAGTAAAAGAATGAGGGAAAAGGGGCCTTGGAGACAGGTTCAGGAGGTTAGCCTGTACAAGCTGCCGCTGCCATTGCTCCTCTGGTTGCAAGAAGAAAGGGGGAAGGGAGTGGCACTGGCATGCTCCCCTGGGGGAGCGTGTGCACTGGGTCCTTTGTGTTTAGGGTATTTATCTCTCACTTGCAGGTGAGAATCTTAGGGGAGGTCTCAGGGGAGGGTCTTAATAGAATATTTATCAGCTTTCCAGGTGTGTTCTTTCAGGGTCCTGGTTTCCACTGATTGGTCTGTTTCAGGACAGGGGGTCATTAGTCAATGCAGCTGGTCTTGAGGCAACTGCAATGTCACTTGTCTGGTTTTGCTGCTTTTCTGGCCCTAGAGCTGAAATACAACTGAGACCTAGCTGTTATCTTTAGGGAGGAAAAGGTCAAGTCCAAACCGCATGACCAGTGATATGCTAGGGGAGGATAGGTTACTCTGGGAGCGAGCGAGGTTCTTGTTTTCCAGTTTTGCCCCGTGCTAGGCATCTGGGGATTTCTGCCCTGGTGAGTTTCTGTACCTGGCGCATCATCCTTGCTCTGCTCATGTCTGTCTGCCTATAACATACAGCCCCAAAATTCCAGCATAACAAAAAAATGTGTTTAGTTCAGATGGCAGCAAATTACATTCCATAGGCCAAACCCAGCCTACCACCCATTTTTGTAAATAAAATTTTATCGGAAAATAGCCATCTCATTTATTATTATCTGTGCCTCCACAGCAGCCAAGTGGTAGGTGAGTTAGTTGCAACAAAGACTGTATGGTCTGAGAAATCGAAAATATTTACTAGTTGGGTATAAATTTAAGATGGAAAGTAAGGAAGAAATTAACTTATTTTATTAATTGTATTTCAATTGTACTTCTTTACTAGATACCAAGATCATTTAGGAAAGAAATAAGCAGTATATTATTTTCCTGTGGCTACTGCAACAAATTATCAGACTTGTGGCTTAAAGCAGCAGAAGTATATTCTCCCACCTAACCCAGGATGATCTCATCTCAAGATCCTTAACTTAATAACATCTGCAAAGACCCTACTTCCAAATACAGTCACCTTCTGAGACACAAATTTGGGGCAGACAATATTCAATCTACTACAAATGGTATGGGATGTTTTTGAAAATAATTTTAGTTTAAATTATTGTTAATAATGTATTCACTTTGTTCAAAATGCAATGAAAGCTTCTTCCTGAACCCTAAACCCAATTTCTCTCCCTGGCAGCTGGTAGGATCATCAAGTCCCAAAATGCCCATTCAGTCATGTCCCATGACTCATTGGACAAAACCCTATGACTCTAATCCTGTCCCATTTGCATAACCATCCTAAACCTGGAACACATCTGGTGAGGTCTCATGCCAGCAACCACGGGGCATCCTCTTTCTTTTCCCAGGCCTCTCTGCCCTGATTTGTTCAACAAGTTGGTGTAAAATATTGTAAGCGTCATTTTTGACTCAGGGCATTTTTCTGCATCTATACAGTTTTTTTTCTCTTTCCTTTTTTGATTTATAAAGCATTTTGTTCTATTTTGTAATTAGTGGTTGAGATTTCCAATTAGAGGCCAGTTATTCTTTTTCTCCAAGTTCCTACTTGTCATTTTTCTATTTAGAAAGCATGGAAAAAATGAGAAATTTACAGAACAAAGAGAGCTGTTCTGCATTGCATGAAAAATTGACTTTGGCTGTGTCGATATTCAGAACAAAGCTGTCAGGAAGCTGGCCCTGTGTGCCTCAGGGGTCCAGCCAAGCAGCTCCCACGTGTGGGGTGCAGACAGATTTCCTCCTCTGGCTGCACCATGAAAGATTCATTTTTTTTTTTCTTCAGAAAGTGATGCATGTTTTTCCTTACATAGTGATGCCATTATACTAAGCATAACATGAATTTCTATGCAGAGATTCTAGCACCTCATCCTCTGAGTTAGGTTTTCTCCTAAGAGTTCTGTCTAAAGGTATAATTGTTCTTTTGGTGTTAATAACATGCAGTCATCTCTTCTAAAATGAAACCATAGTTTCTCACGTACCACTTCTATCAGCTTAATTATCTAACACGTTGTTTGATCTAGGGTAAAGGAGTCTTCTCTGGCAAGTCGATCACACTTTGTGATTCTTCATTAATTTATCGATTCACCGCACTAGTTATTGAGCTTCTATTTTGTATCATCTTCTGTGCTAAACACATGGTATGTATATGGATTCATGCACAAAGACATGCACCTGATCGCATGCCTCTTGTTGTGTCCACTGCAAGAGATGGGGCTGGAAATAGCACTTACTGAAACAAAATATGCTGTGTGTTGCCCACTTACATCAAGGAAGGACATCAGCAGGCACTCTTGATGTTTGGGTTTCCCAGTCTCTGTCCTCTCTGTCACTAGCTATTCTTGGTGCTTGGTTTCTAGTTTCATGACAACTTCATGGCACATAATGGTGGCTGAAGCCAACATTCCAGGCAGTCAGACAGAAAAGGGCCAGCGGACAAACCAAATACCAGATGCCCCTTGTCCCTCTTATCCTTTTAAGCAACTCTCCCAGATTCACCTGGGATTTCACTTTCTCGCCAGATGCTTCCCCTGACTATGAAGGAAGGGACAGAAATACTGCCTGATTGTGCGCAGGGCTGGATAGGGCTCGGTAGCTCTGTGGATGACCAACCATGTGTCTGATAACCAAATTGCAGTGGCTCACAACCCTCACATCTGCATCTGGAACCTTCCATGCCTCCCAAGTGATAAAAGACAAAGGGCCCAGTGGACAAATGGTCAAAGGTTATGAACATAAGGACAGTGAGGGCACATGCTCCCCTGTGCCGGCAAAGCAGGACTATCCACCTGGTAGCCTACTCAGGTGGGCACAGGGGGGCATGTGCCCTCGCATTCTTGCATCCACCCACCTCACTGGGCTGCTGCAGATTCACCCCTCGTTTCCATGAACTTTCATCCCTGCTCCAAGAACGTTCAGTAATTCGGTGTGGTGTCCTAAGACTTTTTATTGGAAGAGTTTCAGGTGGCTTTTTCGTTCTCAGTATTTTCAGAATTTGAATTCTACCATCTTGAAATACAGATTTGGCCAGTTCTTTATTGTACTTATGGGCTGAGTTCAAGGGCATTACTCTGGCTCCTCTAAAGTAAGCTTGTTGTGTTTTACATGTTTGAGCTCTGGCTCAACTCCACTGAGAAATCAGCCCCGTTGTCAC